TCTTCCAATCCAGCTCTCTGCTATGGCCTGGGAAAGCAATAGAAGACGGCCCAAATCCTTGGGCCCCTACACCCACGAGGGAGACCTAGAAGAAGCTCCTGGCTCCCGGCTTCGGATCAGCTCATCACTGGCCGTTGCGGTCATTTGGGAATGGAAGACCTCTCTCTGGTTCTACCTCTCTCTGTTTTTCAAATAAATAAAAATAATTCTTAAAAAAAAAAAAAGCCTGTAATTCCACACCCTGCAAAGTATCTTTCAGCAATGAAGGTAAGGGGCGGGTGTTGTGGCGCAGCAAGTTAAGCCCAGAGTGGAGCAGCGGTCAGGTGATGGATACTCTGCTCCCAATCCACCTTCCTGCTGAGGCACCTGGGAGGCAAAGATGACGACTCAAGTGCTCTCTCTCTGCCTTACAGGGAGATGAAAATAAACATTTTTTTAAAAGTGCACAGAAAATGGAATTAGCAGATAATGCACATTTTCCACGAACTCTTTGTTCATGTATCCGAGTTTGCTGGTGACTGCTAGAGGTACAACTGAGGAAGTGTACTCTTTCAGATTCGGTTGCAAACGACACGTAAGAGCTATCTGACGAAGGAGTACGAGTCTCGTCGCTGCTGCCACACCTCTCAGTGGTGGGCACCCGGCCTGGTGGTTAAGATGCCACGTGGGACACCCATGTTCCACGCTGGAGCACCTGGGTTTGAGGCCTGGCCCCGCTCCTGGCTCCAGCTTCCTGCTAATGTGCACGCTGGGAGGCACCACACGATGATTCAAGTACTTTGGTCCCTACCACGCACGTGGGAGGCCCAGATTACACTTTTGGGCTCCTGGCTTTGGCTTGTGTGGGCCTTTGGGGAATACTTTGGAGGCTGGGAGTGCTCTGTTTTCCAAATAAAACACTTTTTTTTTTTTTTTTAAATAAAGCCTCAGCACAAGCATGTATAAAACCTGAAGAAGTCCAGGAACCAACAGAGGAACACTCTGTTGTGTAACCGGTGCCTTTGCGGGGACATCACTGTGTGGAAAAGTACCAACACCACTCAGGCTGAGCAGAAAAGAGATTCAGAACAGTGGACTCTGACCATAAGGAAGCTTTGGAAATGCCTTGACCAACTTAGTTTACTTTTTATGTGCATGCAGAATTACAAATGTTTTTGAATCAATGTTTAAGTAAGTGTAAAGAACTCCTTCAGTCAACATAAAGAAAGAGATGCAGGTGCGAAGCAATCACTGGGTCTGGTTTTCTTCTTTGCCTTTTCCTTCCTGGCGGAACCTGAAACAAAGATGTACCTTGCGGCTGACAGAACCGACGGGACCGCTGCAGCCCCCAGCCATGCAGCTAACACTCTTGCCCAGCACACGTGGAATACTCACACAAAACACTCCCGCTCCATTCTGAAATGCTTCATGAACTTCAAAGGGGTGGTATGGTAGACACAAGGAAGTGCTTTGCTCAAACTCACAGAGAACTTACTGTCAAGGAATGGAGAGGTGTTAGTCCAAGGCTACCAAGTTTCAGGAAGACAGGAAGCACGGCTTCAAGAGATCTACTGCACAGCATGTAGCTATAGTTAATCATTCATTACGCACCTGAACAATGCTAAGGCAGATCATCAGTGTTTCCACCACACACACAGCATGCGACGCCATATGGTGATGTTAAATAGCTTGACTCAGTCATTTCACAACATATACATGTACCAAAACATCACAGTATACATTGTAAATAATCCCTAAAACCATTTTGAGAGGCAGACACACACATAAAGAGAGACAGAGACAGAGAGAGAGGAAGGGACAGAGAGACTCCTATCTGCTGGAATGACCACATGGCCGGGACTAGGCTAGACAATAACCAGGAGCAGGAACACGATCCAGGTCTCCCACGAGGGCGGCTGGAAACCAGTTTCTTGAGCCATCACTGCCACCTCCCAGTGTCTGCATTAGCAGGAAGCTGGAGTCATGAGCCAGAGCAGGAATCAAACCCAGCCATTCCAACATGGGACACGGGTTTCTTGGGCATATTAACTACAAGGCTAAATGCCCACCTAATACACACAACTTTCATTTGTCAGCTATATTTTTTAAAAGATTTATTTATTTATTTGAAAGGCAGAGTTAAGAGAATTAGAGAGAGAGAGAGATCTTTCATCTGCTGGCTCACTCCCCAAATGGCTTCAACAGCCAGGGCTGGGCCAGGCCAAAGTCAGGAGATTATTACAGGTTTTCCATGTGGATACAAGCACTTGGACCATCTTCTGCCATTTCCCCAGGTACATTAACAGGGAGCTGGAACAGAAGTAGAGCAGCCAAGACACGAACTGGCACCCATATGGGATGCAAACACCACAGGCAGTGGCTTAACTCTCCAGGCCATATGCTGGCCCCTGTCAATTACACTTCAACAAAGCTTACACAGAAAGATTAACATATTTGCTTTTTAAAATATATAAGGTGAACAACCTTCATATATTTCATATATACAGCTTTAAGAGCATAATGATATTTCCCACCCTATCCCCACTCCGTCCCAACCACCCTCTTATTTTCTCATTCCCACCCTCCTTATTTTGTCATTTCTCTCTCTTTTTTTTTTTTTATTTGAAAGGCACAGTTACAGAGAGATGGAGAGAGAGATGGGGAGGGAGGTCTTCCACCTGCTAGTTCCCTCCCCAGAATGGCCACAATGGCCAGGGCTGGGCCAGGCTGAAGCCAGGAGCTTCCTCCGGGTCTCCCACATGGGTGTAGGGGCCCAAGCACTAGGGCCATCCTCCGCTGCTTTCCCAGGCACATCAGCAGGGAGCTGAATCAGCAATGGAGCAGCTGGGACTCAAACTGGCACCCACATGGGATGCCAGTAGTACAAGCAGTGCCTTAACCTGGTATGCCACAGCACCAAACCCTTCTTTTAATTTTTACAATGACATACTTTCAATTTTGTTTATAAGCACAAACTTAACCCTCCACTAAAGAAAGAATTCCACAAGTAGAAAAACCACTGTTCCTCAAGAGTACAAACGGCGGGCTGGCGCTGTGGCCCAGTGGGTTAAAGCCCTGGCCTGCAGCACTGGCATTCCATACAGGCGTCAGTTCGAGTCCTGGCTGCTCCACTTCTGATACAGCTCCCTGCTAATACACTTGGGAAAGCAATGGAAGATGGTCCAAGTCCCTGGGCCCCTGCACCCATGTGGGAGACCTGAAAGAAGCTCCTGGCTCCTGGCTTCAGATCGGCCCAGCTCCAGCAGCTGCAGCCATTTGGGGAGTGAACCAGGGGATGGTCTCCAGATGCTTCCACTTTGTTGTGAAACACAGGATTTTATTCTTTTTATGTCTGAGTAGTATTCTATCATGTATGCATACCATAATTTCTTTATCCAGTTGTCAACTTCTGAGTTGATTCCATATGTTATCTATTGAGAGCTGAGTTGCTATTAACACTGGGGTCCAGATAATGCTTTCATATCCTGATTTCCTTTGGGTAAATTTCCAGGAATGGATAGCTGGGTCACATGGCAGATCTACTTTCAGGTTTCTAAGGAATCTCCATGGTGTCTTCCACAACGGTTGTGCAAGTTTACATTCCCACCCGCAGTGGATTAGGGTACCTTTGCTCCTACATCCTCCCCAGAATTTGTTACTCTTCGATTTTTGGATGATACCCGTTCTAACTGGGGTAAGGTAGAACCTCATTGTGGTTTTCACTTGCATTTCCCTGACGGCTGGTGATCCTGTGCATCTTTTCATGTGTCTGTTGGTCATTTGTATTTCATCCTTTGAAAAAAATCCTGTTTATATCCTTAGCCCGTACCTTAACTGAACTGCTTGCTTTGCTGTTGAGTTTCTTGAGTTCCTTATATATTCTGGATATTAATCCTCTATCAGATATATAGTTTGCAAATATTTTCTCGCATTTTGTCAGTTGTCTCTTTATTTAGCGCTTCCTTTGCAGTGCAGAAACTTATTACTTGATATAATACCATTTGTCTATTTTTGCCTTTATTGCCTGTGCTGCTGGGGTTTTATCCAAGAAGCCTTAGCCTATGCCAACATCTTGCAGTGTTTCCTCCAGTAATTTGACAGTTTCAGTTCTTAGATTTAGATCCCTGACCACCCTAAGTTGATTTTGCACAGGGTGTAAGGTAGGGTCTGGTTTCATACTTTTGCATGCAGAGATCCAATCTTCCCAACTCCGTTTGTTGAAGAGGCTGTCCTTTCTCCAGGGAATGATGTTAGCTCATTTGTCAAAGATTAGTTGGTTACTCACGTGTGGATTAATTTCTGGGGTCCCTCGTCTGTCCCATTCACCCACATGTCTATTCTACTCAGTACCAGGCTGTTTTGATCATAGCTGCCCTGTGGTATGTCTTGAAATCTGGTATTGTGATGCCTCCAGCTTTATTTTTATTGGTTAGGGTTGCTGTAGCCATTCAGGGACAAAGCTGACAAAGTTTTTTTTTTTTTTTCTTTCTCCCTTAAAGAATAAGGCTCTAGGGGAAAGAACCACTACATTCCTAAAGTTGTACCCATGAAAAATGCATTCATTAAATAAAAGCTTAAGAAGAAAACAGAAAGAGCTAGACCTGCTATTTATGTTCAAAATGTGACTTCTTTTAGAGGCTAGACACATCAAAGAAGCTAACCATGTCAGCAGAGGATGAGGCTTGGGCCATGCGATACCAGTCTTTCCTCTGAGACTGAATCCAATCACCCTGGCAATGAATGAATGAGTGAATCTGGCATACATAATGAAGTTCCAATAAAACTCAGTACATGAAAAAAAAAAAAAAGGCTCAAAATATTATAGTCCCAGATCCTCCTACAATCAGGCACAAGACTGGAAAGTGTGAAGCGAAGCAGAGGTTCCCCACCTGCTCTTTTTCATATGGGCCACTTCTCTGCTGGCAGGCAGGGCTGTGAAATCTGAGTTTCCTGGAACGGAATTGTGCCCCAGAGTCCTAGGAATGCTGTCAGCGGGGCCAGGATCAGTGGCCTCTGCACTCAGCCCAGTGCTTGTGGAGGTTACAGGGGGTGGGGCTTCTCAGCCCAGTGCTTGTGGAGGTTACAGGGGGTGGGGCTTCTCAGCCCAGTGCTTGTGGAGGTTACAGGGGGTGGGGCTTCTCAGACCCAGTGCTTGTGGAGGTTACAGGGGGTGGGGCTTCTCAGCCCAGTGCTTGTGGAGGTTACAGGGGGTGGGGCTTCTCAGCCCAGTGCTTGTGGAGGTTACAGGGGGTGGGGCTTCTCAGCCCAGTGCTTGTGGAGGTTACAGGGGGTGAGGCTTCTCAGCCCAGTGCTTGTGGAGGTTACAGGGGTGGGGCTTCCCCTCTGGTGACTCGCTTCTGGAGTCTCAGCATGGAGCCCACTCTTCTACGACAAGCACCCCAAGTCTCCTTACGGTATCACCTCCTCAGCTCAAAAACACTTAAGAGTGTTTCAGGTTTCTTCCTTGAAACTCTTAAGGAAACAATCAGCAACATGAAGACTGAATTCTCTGACCACAAAGCAATAAAGTGAGAAATCATTAACAGAACAGTGAAATAGTAAAACTCTTATTTGGAAATTAAATAAACAATTCTAAGCCATTGGTCAAAGAAGACAGACTAATGTAAATTAGAAAATACTGAGAAGAGGCCGGCGCCGCGGCTCACTAGGCTAATCCTCCGCCTTGTGGCGCTGGCACACCGGGTTCCAGTCCTGGTTGCCCCTCTTCCAGGCCAGCTCTCTGCTGTGGCCAGGGAGTGCAGTGGAGGATGGCCCAAGTCCTTGGGCCCTGCACCCCATGGGAGACCAGGAGAAGCACCTGGCTCCTGCCATTGGATCAGCACGGTGCGCCGGCCGTGGCGGCCATTGGAGGGTGAACCAACGGCAAAGGAAGACCTTTCTCTCTGTCTCTTTCACTGTCCACTCTGCCTGTCAAAAAAATAAAAAAAAGAAAAAAAGAAAATACTGAGAAGAGAGAACGATGATGTAAAAATACCAATACTTGTGTGCTACAGCTAAAACAATCCTTATCACAACCTAAAATGCTTATTTTAGAAAAACAGTTGAAAATGCTGAGTATCTATCCTTTTTTAAAGAAAAAGATTTTATCTATTTATTTGAGAGGTAGAGTTACAGACAGTGAGAGGGAGGGGCAAAGAGAGAGGTCTTCCATCCGCTGGTTCACTCCCCAGATGGCAGCAACGGCCGGAGCCATGCCGATCCGAAGCCAGAAGCCAGGAAGTTTCTTCTGGGTCTCCCACGTGGGTGCAGGGGCCCAAGGACTGGGCCATCTTCTACTGCTTTCCCAGGCCACAGCAGAGAGCTGGATTGGAAGAGGAGCAGCCAGGACTAGAACCGGTGCCCATATGGGATGCCGGTGCCACAGGTGGAGGATTAACCCACTGCGCCACGGCGCCAGCCCCTAAGTATCTACCTTTGAAAAAAAAGGGGGGGGGGCAGGTGATATGGCATATCAGCTTAGCATGCCACTTGGGAAATCCATACAAAAATGCCTGGTTTGAGTTTCAGCTATTTTTTTTTAAAGATTTATTTATTTGAAAGGCAGAGTTACAGAGAGACAGAGGCAAAGAGAGAGAGGTCTTCCATCTGCTGGTTCACTTCCCAGATGGCTGCAATGATTGGAGCTATGCCACTCTGAAGCCAGGAGCTTCTTCTGGGTCTCCCGCAGGTGCAGGGGCCCAAGGACCTGGGCCATCTTCTACTGCTTTCCCAGGCCACAGCAGAGCTGGATCAGAAGTGGAGCAGCCAGAACTCAAACTGGCACCCATATGAGATGCTGGTGCTGCAGACGGTGGCTTTACTTGCTACATCAAGTAGTAGCTACAACAAGCAGCTGGCCCCAAGTTCCAGCTATTCTACTTCCAAACCACCTTCCTGCTGATAAGCATCCTGAGATACAGTAGGTCATGGCCAAGAACTTGGGTCCCTGCACAGGTGACAGGATAGAGTTCTAGGCTCCTGACTTTTGCTCGGCCTTGCCCTAGCTGTTGCAGGCATGTGGGGAGTGAACCAGGGGATGAAAGATCTATCTCTCGTTTTAAAAAAATGAAAACTTAAAAATTTAAAAAATAATCTAAAGGACAAAATAATATAGAAATGAAATTAATTTCTTAAACACACTAAAGTATAGCCATTTTTGGAAAACAACTTAGCAGTTCTTCACTCCTGGGTTCCATTCCTAGGTATATAGCCCAAAGACATAAAAATCTATGTCCATACAAAAACTTGCAAGCAAATGTCCAAAGCAGCATGATTTACATTAGTCAAATGTGAAAAAAAATCCAAATGCCCACCAACAGAAGAACAAAGAAAAGTGCAGCATCTAAGGGGAGGGAGGTTTCTTCAAAAAGTTCATGGAAACTTCATTATCTTCTAAATTAATTTTTCTGTGAGATTTTGAAGTATCCTCATGCATACAGGGAACGTTACTCAGCCATAAAAAGAAATCCAGTTCTGACACATGCTACAACATAGGCAACCCTTGAAAACATTATGCTAAGTGAAATAAGCCAGCCACAGAAGACTACATGTCATATGATTCCATTTATAGGAGACGTCCAGAATAAGCCAAGAACAGACAAAACTAATTTGTGGTGATGGAAACCAGAGCGGTGGTGCATCTGGGAGAGGCGGGGGGCACTGCCTGGGAAACGGCACGCGGGGAGCACTGCCTGGGAAACGGCACGCGGGGAGCACTGCCTGGGAAGCGGCACGCGGGGAGCACTGCCTGGGAAGCGGCACGCGGGCCGGCTGTGGTGCTGCAGATGTTACTGCTCCCATCTGGGCGGCGGCTGCCCAGGCAGATGTATGAGAGCTCGAGCTCTGGGGACACATTTGTTCATTGTCCTTAGAAGTCCACGGACGAGGGGCTGGCGCCGTGGCACGGCATCTAAAGCTGCTGCCTGCGACCCCGGCAACCCATGTGGGTGCAGATTCGAGTCCTGGCTGCTCCACTGCCAATCCAGCTCCCTGGTAGTGCGCTCGGGAGGCAGCAGGGGCTGATCCAAGTCCTTGGGCCCCTGCACCCACGTGGGAGACCTGGAAGAAGCTCCTGGCTCCTGGCTTCAGATCAGCCCAGCTCCGGTTGTTGCAGCCATTTGGGGAGTGAACCAGCAGATGGAAGATTCTCCCTCTCTTCTCTAACACTGGCTTTCAAATAAATAAAATAAATTCTATGTAAGTAACTGATCCCTCTCAATTCTTCACCAAGAGAGGGACAATTTCCCTGAAAGACACCGAAATAGCATCCCAAGAATCCGTTGCACACTAATAGAACTGACACTTACCAATGACACACAGCTATATGGAATGGAATTGCATTTCTTAACTCAAAAAAAAAAAATCTAGAGATTAAAACAAATTACTGGGGCAGGTGTTTGGCTGAGCAGTTAAGACACCAGTTAGGATGCCTGCGTGCTACATCAGAGTGCCTGAGTTCACGTCCCAGCTCTGCTTCTGATTCCAGGTTCCCATCAGTGCAGACCCCGGGAGGCAGCAGTGACGGCTCAAGTGGTTGGGTGCCTGTAACCCACAAAGGAGACCTGGATTGGGTTCCAGGTTCCTGGCTTTATCTTGGCCCACCCCTAGCTGTTACAAGCATTTGGGGAGTGAACCGGTAGTTGAGCAATCTCTCTAAATTTCTTTTCAAAATATAATCTTCATATATATATATATGTGTGTGTGTGTGTGTGTGTGTGTTTACACATATATAAAACCATACTAACTGCTGCCTAGGATGACACTTTTGAAGACCACTGCTGTTATTCTTCCAGGTCTCCGTCTGCCCTAGGTGCATACACCTACCACTGGGTGAGGCAGTTTCTGCACCTGCAGGTCATAACCCTTCTCAAACCAGCCTCTTGGATTCTGTATAAACATCCTCTTGACGTCCACCGTGCCAACCCACAAACGCTGCTCCTCCTGTATGCTGATGTAGCCAACCACCAGCAAGTAGCAGGGCCCTGCATGGCAGGTGCCCTGATGAACACAGTGGTAAGGGGCAGTTTACTGCCCTGTTCAATCCGGCTAAACCCAACAGAAGGATCAAGGACTAAGTTCTCAATCCTTATGCAAAGTCTTTCACTCAGATCACTGTTTCCAGCTTGTTTTCTTTCTTTCTTTTTTTTTCTTTTTCTTTTTTTTTTTTTTTTTTTTTGACAGGCAGAGTGGACAGTGAGAGAGAGACAGAGAGAAAGGTCTTCCTTTTGCCGTTGGTTCACCCTCTAATGGCTGCCACGGCTGGTGCGCTGCGGCTGGCGCACCGCGCTGATCCGATGGCAGGAGCCAGGTGCTTCTCCTGGTCTCCCATGGGGTGCAGGGCCCAAGCACTTGGGCCATCCTCCACTGCACTCCCGGGCCACAGCAGAGAGCTGGCCTGGAAGAGGGGCAACCGGGACAGAATCCAGTGCCCCGACCGGGACTAGAACCTGGTGTGCTGGTGCCACAAGGTGGAGGATTAGCCTAGTGAGCTGCGGCACCTGCCCAGCTTGTTTTCTACGGCAGCTTCTTACGAGTCGGTCTACAGACCTTCTTCTCCATCAGAATCACTTGCATCCAGCAACCGTGCTCCCTAGGGTTGGCCCAGGTTAAGCTGCAAATTATGTCTACAGGGAAACCCTGCCCGTGAGGTTTATAGCAGTCTTATTCATAACTGCCAAAATCTGGGAACAACCAGGATGCCCTCAATAAAGGTATGGATAAAGAAACCAGGATATGTCCATACACTGGAATATCACTTGGTGCTATCAAGCAGTGAAAAGACATGAAGGAACCATAAGCCCATACTGTAAGGCAAAGAAGCTACATTCTATGTAATTCCAGCCACAAGATGCAGTAGAAGGGTCAATGCTTGCCAGGAGTTCAGGTGAACAAGGGAGGGACAGGCAGCAGAGGACTCTCGGGGTAGCGAGATGCTTCTGTTTGCGTCTGTTATGAGGGGTGCGTTTGTCAGAAACCATACAACTATACAGACCATTCTGTAAGCTCTGGACTTCATTCAGCAACAATGTATCAGTATTGGTTCATCAATAACAAACCTCTGGTACACTGGAAGATGTCAGTGACTGAGACAATGAGGCGAAGGGGAGCAGATGAGAACTGGGTGCTTTCTGTAGGATTTTCATACAAATCTAAATCTGTTCTTACAAATAAAGCCTATTAATAACATTTTAAAAATAGGGACAAGGACATCCAAATCTATCCGGTGATTCTCGAACAACTCTGTAAGAGCGATCCAATGATTTAATCAGACCAGTCTTGCAACAAGTCCTCATGAAGATCCCACAGAGGATGAAAGGAGGCTCCTCCTGATCAGATTTCAAAAATGCTCAACCACGATGCCAGAAAAATATCACCCAAATTTAAGATTAGGGGCTGGTGTTTGGCCTAGCAGTTAAGACTCCACCTGGGATGCCAGTGT